CCATACGATGGCAGAAGCGGCTTAAATACACTAGAGCTGCTTAACCCAATGGTGCCGGGTATGACGTGTACATACGTGCTATGCCCACCATGAGTACTTGTTTGATTGTTTTTACGCATTGATGGCAACACTTGTACTAAATCACCAATGAGCCAACTACGAGTACCGCCCGTCTCGCCCGTTTACCCGTTTCTTTGATTTACAAAATATTTTACGTAATCTTATTTTGCTGTTACTAATGTTAAAAAACATTATAAAAATTATAATGTTTATGATAAAAATAACACCATCGATTTTCATAGCACTAGTGAAAAATACGTTTTTCCCGCCATTTCAAATCAGGCGCTAGCAGAGCCATCTATCGGCAGACATTTCACGAAAAACATAGAAAGTGGGCACAGCATTTTCTCCATTTTTTGTTCATTTTCCCCGGGACCATTGGGTTAAGCACTCAGGGAACAAGGGGAGTCCACGTTCCAGTGAGTGAATATCTGATGGGACCCAACTTGTTAATATGCTGAGCTTCAGGTTGTGGGGTCATGCTGCAACAATGGGCAACAGCTTGCTCATCACATTATTAATGTTCATGTTCCACCATGCCGTCATTGATACGGTGTATGACGAACTACTTGACACCATGTTGACATCATGTTGTTGACTAGGTCTTTATGCTGCGGTGGTTGACCAATTATCCTTCCCCAGGGAAACGGTGTTTAGCTAATCACTGTTGGTGGTTCTCAACTCACCATCATATCTACGATAGACTCACCTACTATCGTATCGAGTGTACACGGATGCACACACACTCGCATGCAGTAATTTAAATATATACATATATTTAAGTATATATGTGTATATATATATGTACACACACACACACACACATATATATATATATATATATATATATATATATATATATATGGAGAGAGAGAGAGAGAGAGAATATATATATGTGTGTGTGTGTGTGTCGGATGGCTATATGTTTTACGTATTTATGTAATTTTAATTATTTTCCACATCTCTCAGAACTGCAGAACTTACAGGATAGGGAGGCTATAAGGCAGCAGCAATGTACATATATATATATATATATATATATATATATATATATATATGGAGAGAGAGAGAGAGAGAATATATATATGTGTGTGTGTGTGTGGGATGGCTATATGTTTTACGTATTTATGTAATTTTAATTATTTTCCACATCTCTCAGAACAGCAGAACTTACGGGATAGGGAGGCTATAAGGCAGCAGCAATGTATATATATATATATATATATATATATATATATATATATATATATATATATATATATATATATATATATGGAGAGAGAGAGACAGAGAATATATATATATGTGTGTGTGTGTGTGTGTGTGGGATGGCTATATGTTTTACGTATTTATGTAATTTTAATTATTTTCCACATCTCTCAGAACTGCAGAACTTACGGGATAGGGAGGCTATAAGGCAGCAGCAAACAGCCATGGCCCCTCCCTCCAATGGAAGCCTCATTTTGCCTCTTTGCTTCCCGCTCTTCTTCCTTTCTCCCAGCGCCCTACTTGTGAAGGGAAGAACAATAATCACCATCATCGTTGCTATTGTTATAATGGTTGTTGTTACCATAATTTTTATCATTACATTATTGATATTATCATTATTTTTATTATTATCATTATTATTGATATCAACATCATCATCATTAATAATGCTACTACTAGTGGTAGTATCACAACTAAAATTATAATGACAATAACAAATAACAATAACATCGTTTTAAATGAAAATTAGTTTCTTAGCAGATTACTTTGGATCCTACTAGCGATGAATCCGCTAAATTGAATCTGGATGTCTATTGGATCCGCCTCTCCAGCAATTGTCTAATCAACTGGCCCGTGACTTTTGGCCGCTCAACGGGCGTCTGTGATCTTGGCGGCTAACCAAGGTAGCTTTTTTTCACTATTATCGTTGTCATGATTATTCTGTTGTTTTTGCTTTTCACCACGATTGTTGATAGTATACATGTTATCAGTAAAATTATTAACAGGAATATAAATTATCATTATAATTAATATTTTTATCATTATCAATATCATTCTTGTCATAGTACTGCCAATTTCATCATTATTATAATGATTATTATTATTGTTATATTTTTTATCACTTCTTATTATCAATATTACTGTCATTATTGTTATTAGTTATTACGATTAACCTCGGCCTGATGTTACTATTATCATTATCATTATTACATAATTATCATTATAATTATTATCATTCATGTTATAATTATTATTATTATTGTCATTATCATCATTACCATCATCACCATCTTTATCATCATCGTTACGATCATTAATATCATTACGATTATTATTATTGTTACCATCATCATCCTCATCATCATTATCATTATCATTATCATCATCATTATCATCATCATCATCCATTACCATCATAATCCATATAATTATAATCATTATGATAATAATAATAATTATTATTATTATTGTTATTATTATTTTTATTATTATTATTATTATTATTATTGTTATCATCATCATCATCATTGTTATCATTGGCATTAGCAATAGCATTATTATAATTATTATTATTATTATTATTATTATTATTATTATTATTATTATTATTATTATTATTATCATAATTATAATTATTATCATTATTATTATCATTACTATTACTATAAAGATCATTATTTTTTATCATTAAATTTGATCATAATTGAAATCATCAATAACATTGTAATTGTAATTACTGTTGTCAGTGTTATCATTTTCATTTTCTTATACTGTTGCTATCCTTTTACAGAGGTCCCTATCATCCCTATAACATGGATAATATTGTCATTCTTATTAGCATTACCATTATTCATTTTATTGTTCAGAACTTTTGAAATTATGATAACTCTGTTCCAAGCGCAATCTCCCGTAACAAAAGATCATACATATTAAAAGATGCCTATATCTATTTGTAAGACATCGGGGCCGTAGACAGAATTTTGTTTTTGACTACGATTTGGGGACTGATAAATGACCAAAAAGAGAGGGGAGTTAGAGAATGGTATTAGCATAGTAACACTACGCCAAGGGTTGTAAAGGGCTCGTATCACGGCCATGGGTTACTTTTGGAGGAGATATGGAGCTATTTGAAAATTATTTATCCGTATTAACCTGATTTTACTTCCTCCTCTCATCCAATATAGTACATTGGCACCATCAATAATGAATAATAGCAGAATTTGCCAAGATGACAGATACTGATGGAGACCATGAAGATTATCATATCGTCATTATGAGATTGGTAGTAGGCCACATAACAGAAACGATTAGAAATCATCGCCCTGAACACTTACGAATCAATCTATCTATTCTAGGGACGAAAGTGTACCGAAACCATTGCAACATGCACGAGTGCACATGCAACTTCGGACTCACCAAAAGAAGGTGCTTCTCCTCAGACGAGTCTGTCTATACTAACTACGTGCTCTCTCTGTTGCTGCTTTGCCATGCTGGGGGAGGAGGTTCATTCCCAATAGTGGGATAATGTCCACTCACTTTATTTTGCAATGCTTCATCGTGTCGGAATGTCTTAATATATTTTTTTTATTTACAACGCATTCATTGATAGATTTTTTAATTTTTAAATATTTTAACATTTCAATCCAATGAGGTATTCTGCCGTTAATGACCTCAGCTGTTGCCACGGCAGATAATTTTAAATAATCGCTCAACCCTGCATAAGATATTTTAATATTCCCTTCAAACGAAAATAACGTGACTGTCATTTTTTTTATAAATGTGTTGTAACTTTCTCCAAAATGATTATAGCATTTGGCCTTTACAAGTCAACTTACTACTTATCGTTATTCTACCTTTATCTATATTGCTACAACCATTACTCATTATTACAATTATTATTACAAGTACAAATGTAATGTCATGTAGAAATTTTGCCAGTTTCCTTCGAATTCATTTTGAAATCATTTAATTGATAATCGAATTAGTTCATCCATCTATTACATTTGCAACTTTATACAGTTCATATAGGTCTGCACAATTCTTTCAATAGGTACATTTTACATTATACTCGTCACTATTCGTACAATTCAGCTTTGATTCATTCATTCCATTATCAGAAAATAAGATGCACGCATTCAAAACGCATTGCTTTCACGGTATGGATTTACTTAAGTTGTATGCAGTGCACATATTGTATAGTATATCATTTATATATCTCACTCCGAAATTCACATTTCATTATCATTCAGCGCTAGTCCTAATAATCTGTAATGACTGATGTCATTTCTATCTTTTTGTGCGGCCGGGTATTAGTGACGACACGTTTTTCACAACACTTTTTCTAGCCTAAGGCGTCTTCTGTACGCGCCATTAAAGTTAATCCAGTATTAAAGTTTAACATACATATATATGTATATATTTATATGTATATATATTTATGCTTATGTATGTATGTTTACATATATATTTACACATACACATATACTGACCAGACATATGTTATGTATCGGTTTATTTATGAAAAGAGAAAAGCTTCAGAGAGTTTGTGAAAATTACTAGTTATCCCTTGGAATCGTAACAATCCATTTTCTAGACCTTATCATGGTTACAGAAGGAAGTAGAGCGCATATTTATTTATGCAGACCAACTTGTGTTGGACTACACCAACAAAGTACAATGCGCAATAAATAAAGTATTTTCATGAAAGTTGATAATTAATATTTTACATTTTGTAAGGATTTTATGGAACACAACCAAAATCATTACGTATTTACTATTTACATGTCTCAGAATTCACTGAACAGAGATATACTATGATAAAAATAAAATCATACATTCATTTAGTGTTATTTTAGTCACAATTAATATCATGTCAAAGAATATATTTTAATTTCATATCAACCTGAGGGGAGATGTGGACAGGAGACGTGGACATGAGATGAGGATACTTTTCACATGGCAGAAGCATAAGGTTTCTCATTGTCCAGGCAACGAACATAAGTTTCGTTGGCCATAAAGGGTGTCTTCTGTACGCACCATGAAAGTTAATCCAGTATTAAAGTTTAATCCAGATCTCTAATGAGCATGCGCATTGGCAGCATTCAGGATTAAATTTAATTCACCTGCAGACCAGGCTTTACTTTTGAGCTCAAAAATTAATCCTGCACATGCGCAGAACAAGCTAATTAATCCCAATCATGTATTGATACTTCATGATAACATCATCAAATCCATAGAAAAGACGCAGCTGATTTCGACATTTTTATGTCAAAGATGTATGTGAAATTTCATCAATATATATGTTTATAAGTTGTGGGATAATCAAACTTCAGATATAACATTGAGAAGAAAAACGAAAAGAAAATCCCACAGAAAACTCAGACACAGAAAAGACAATGTTATTTCCAGGTTGTAAAAAAACATTCCCAACTTATGCAATATATTAATCAAATAAAATGAAAGCTTCAAAACCGCGTGGACATTTCTAATCATGATCCTTGCTAGCAACACCCAGAAAAAGAAAAGTTGATATTATGAGTATCTCTTTTTGTTTGAAACTTGAAACTTGTAGAGGGTGAATGTTAATTATCATTACACAGATACCCGCTTTTTCATGTAAAACAACAGACTTACTGATAATTGCATTGATTCTTCTCTGAAAGAACTGTGGATCTGGATTTAATCCGGAATTAACTTTTATGACGCATACAGAAGACGCATCTAGTGCTAAACCACATAAAAAACAAATGCAAATATGTCAAGAGAACAATTACGAATCTTTATAGATGTATAAACTGCCCTGCATTGTGAGAAAACGCCTGAAAAATATTAGCAAATAAAGAAAGTAAATTATTGCACCAATACCTTTAAGTTTCCAATGAAATAAACACGGAGTTTTAAGAGTTTCTAATAGCACAATCAGAATTTTGCATATTTGAATTTCTTCATACTAGGAAACTCTTATTCGTCGGTCTACTATTGAGTTTTATGAAATACATTTCTCCGTCTGTGTGTGTGTGCGTGCGTGCGTGCGTGCGTGCGTGTGTGTGTGTGTGTGTGTGTGTGCGCGTGTGTGTGGCTTTCTTTCCTTCTCTCTCTCTCTCTCTCTCTCTCTCTCTCTCTCTCTCTCTCTCTCTCTCTCTCTCTCTCTCTCTCTCTCTCTCTCGCTCAATCTCTCTCTCTCTCTCTCTCTCTCTCTCTTTACATATACACATACATAAATATATATATATATGTGTGTGGCCTTCATGTCGGCCATCACATAATCCAGCCACCTCTTTCTTTGTCTTCCTCTACTCCGCTTTCCAGGGATAGGCATATCCATCGCTTTCCGTATGTCTTCCTCCTCATGCCTTCTTTTCACATGGCCGAACCATGTGAGTCTTGCCTGTTCGATCTTGCTACTAATGCTTGTGACTTCTGCTTCAGCTAACACCTCTTCGTTTGTTCTCTGCTCTCTTAGACTGATTCCCAACATCCACCTCAGCATTCTCATTTCCGTTCTCTGCAATAGGCTCTCTTCTTTCTTTCTTAAGGCCCACGTTTCTGTTCCGTACAATAACACAGGTCTTATCACAGTTTTGTACATTTTCGCCTTCAGCTTGGTTGGTAACTTTTTGTCGCACATCACGGCAAAAACCTCTCGCCACTTGGCCCACGCTGCCTTCACATGGTCTTTCTCTCACATCCTCCTTCACTTGCCATCATGCTGCCGAGATACTTGAACTCGTCAACTTGGTCATACTTTGCGCCGCTCTCCTCTTTGATGTTTACCTTTCTTCTTGCTCCTTTGCTGTTTCTCATGACAACAGTCTTCTTCATGTTCACTTTTAGCCCTCGACCCTCGAGTGCCTTTTTCCACTTCCTGAGATGTGCTTCTAAGTTCTTTTCACTCGTCGATGAAATGACCAAGTCGTCCTCGAACAACATTTCCCAGAGCAATCCTCCTCCACACTCCTCGTTCACCACGTCGATAACTATGATGATCAGGAGTGGACTCAGGCTTGATCCTTGGTGAAGGCCGACTTTCACTTCAAATTCTTCCGATATTCCCTGTGGCGTTCAGACCATTGTGGTTACACTTTCGTAGGTATCCTTCATGATGTTAATGAGGTACTCTGGAACTCCTTTCTTCCGTAGACACCAGTAGACCAGCTCTCTGGGCACCCTATCAAATGCTTTTTCCAAGTCAACAAAAGCATGGTATAGGTTCTTGTCGCCTTCCAGATGTTTCTCTTGGAGCTGCCTGAGTATAGATACAGCATCAGTCGTACCTCTCCACGGTCTTAAGCCAAACTGCATGTTTCCTATATCAACCACTTCTCGGAGCTTCTGATCCAGGATCTTTTCCTCAACTTTCAAGAGGTGTTCCAAGAGCTTCATACCACGGTGGTTCCCACATTCTAATACATCGCCTTCCTGTTTATACACTGGCACTAGTATACTTGTCCTCCAATCTTCTGGGATGTTCTCTCCATTCCAAATCTTTTTTAAGATCTTGTGGGTCCACATCGCACCTTCACTCCCCAAGGCATCCAACATCTCTACCACCACCTCCTATGTGCCTGCTGACGGCTGACACCTCCTACAGGCTTACTTGCTGTATCGGACATTCCACTGCTGGTACTTCTGTTAGCCCTTCCCGTTCGTTCTCTACATTCAACAGGTGTTCAAAATATTTTCTCCATCTCCTTAGCACTTCTTCTTTCTCTGCCAGAATCCGTCCATCCTCGCTCTTCACCACAGTCACTTTTGGGATGTCTCTCTTTGCTCTTGCACGCTGCTTGGCCACTTTAAAAATTCTCTTTTTTTTCCCTCTGGTGTTACCATCTCTGCGTACCAGTCCCGAACTGCTTCCTCTTTAGCTACTGCCACGGCCCTTTTTGTCTCTCTCTTCGCCACTTTGTACCGGTTCCTTTTCTCCAGGCTCTCCTTGTCATCCTGCCACTCCTTGAAAGTTTTCTTCTTTCCCTTGATCTTCTCCCGTACCTCTTCCGTCCACCACCATGTTTCTCGTTCTACTGTTCCTCTCCGCTCCTCTATACATATATATATATATATATATATATATATATATATATATATATATATATATATATATATATATATATATATATATATATATATATATACATATATATATATATATATATATATATATATATATATATATATATATATACATATATATATATATATATATATATATATATACATATATATATATATATATATATATATATATATATATATATATATATATATATATATATATACATACATATATATATATATATATATATATATATATATATATATATATATATATATATATATACATATATATATACATACATATATACATACATATCTCTCTCTCTCAGTATATATATATATATATATATATATATATATATATATATA